GAGAGAGAGAGAAAGACAGAGGGAGAGCTGGTCCCACGTCTGATTTTTGTTTCCTTGGTATAGGTGTGGAAAAGTTTAATCGTTCCTTATTATTTCAAAATATTTCGGTTTTTTTTATGTCCTGAGATAGCAGTATAATATCTTTATTTTATGGTATTTATAAATGTAAATTTAAATCGAAGGACTTACATTATTTGAAAATATCTACAAATCATTTGAAGATGTCCATCCAAAAAAAGGCTCTGCAAGGGATGAACCCATTTTCGGATATATTCAGGTCATCTTTTTAGCATTTGAATAATGTTTTTCTAAAAATTTTAAATCACAGTTATACTGATGCAGGTAAATTTTTTAACCCAACACAAAACCAGAGTAATAAGAATGGCATACAGTGATAGTCTCCATAAAACCACCTGGCCAGCAAACCCAAAGTGACAGATACACCTTTTCCTGCATTTGTCTAATTTTTATGTTCTACATCAAGATGCTGAAGTTGACAGTTTGACTGTAGAAAAATATTTCACAAGGTCACAGGTTTCCTGTGTTGTTTCCAAAATCTGATTGCCTTGTTTTCATTGAGGTGGAGCAGAATTTTACTGGGTCAATGTTTTAATTTAATTTAATTTAACTTAGGTATACAATGTAAAATACTGACTTACAAGCTGCTTCCTCCCAAAAGATCATCATCAGAAGTATTATAATACATGATTAAACATTTGAAACAAAAGCAGAGTTGCCAAAACAGTTGCATTTAGATTATACACACAATACATATTTTATGATGAAGAGGGAGGCTTCTGATTGTTTACACACTCACATGCTTGGAAGCACTGAAGATTCAAGACCGGGATAAACAGCCTAGGAAGTGCAGGCCATTCTCTCACTTCCAGACAGGCTTCTGTAAACTGATGTCAAAAGACACGACTAACTAGCCTTGGCACAGAGTCGTAGAAGGCGGCCTACATATTAACAATACATTATAAATTAACTGACGTCGTGCATGACTTAAGAATGTGTTGGTGAATAAACAGACGTTAAAAAACATTTAAGTTCACTTTGTTTCAGGACAGTACTTGTGACAGGCTCGCAGTCACACAGATGAATAGTAGGCGACTCACAGTTATGACTTTGTTTATTTTTTTGGTTTCTCGTGAGAACTGCCGCACAGGGGGAAATGTCACAGGGAAGACCGCCGCTCTGTTCGAGCCTCTATAAGCTTAAAGGGGACACAGGCAAAACTCGACACAGTTGCACTACTGAGCACATATGTAGACAGGGGAGCTTCCCGTCTTCTGTGACCTTCAGCACTGGGTTTCAGTTCAGGTTCTAAGAAAAGCCCACTTGTCAGGAACAGCAGCTCACTGCTTGTAGCTAAAACGTGAGTGAACACAGCCTTAGATAACTAATACTACTAAAAATAATGCTAACAGGAGCACTGCTGCCTCACACCCCTGGGACCTGTGGATGAGTCTCCACCCTGGCAGAGTTTGCATGTTCTCGATATGTTGTCATGGGGTTTCCCTCAAAGACATGCCGAGATTAACTGGGGTTACCAATGGTGTGTGAGTGTGCTATGTGATGGGGCGGCCCCACCATCCTGGGTTGTTCCCTGCTTTTTGCCCATTTACTCCAGACCCCCACAACCCTGAATAGGACGAGTGGCTTCACTGTCCTACAAGCACTTGGCTGTTTAACGACTGGATTATATCAAGTTCCTTATGGTTCACGTCTCATAATTTGCAGGATAAATAAACTCGCAATATCCTTCAATCCCTGTTATGCTCTGAGTAAACACACTACTTGCTTCCTTCTTGATGGTCGGTGGGTCTTTAGAACTTTCCCTGACAATGGGAGAGTATTTCAGCCACGTCCCAAAAACGCAGAGCCCCTCCCTTAGTCACATGCTGGGCTGTGAGGCAGCGCTAACCATAAACACGATGTCATTAGCGTATTTCACTGCCACTGCACCAAAAGGCAGCGTTCATCATTACAAAACCATCCTTCACATCTCCAGCTTCCGTAGCTGGCACCTTCTCTGGGTGCTATTAAGGGAAGGTATGTTATCGAGATTCTCATGACTATGGCCTTGTAAGGCTGAGATAAGGAGGTGTCAAGAGCTGCAGTGATCCCAGTAGCAAGTGAGAATGTCTTAGTCACAATCTGATTGGCTATACCAGCCTTCCCATAATGCACTTCCCCAAATGGTTTAAGAAATCAGACATTGGAGGCCATTTTACATCACAGCCGTACGACAGAGGTTCTCAGATAACTAATATGGCAGATAACAAATGTGCTTCCATACCACTGCTCATCCCCAGCACAGACCTCAGTCCTTTGCGGTGGGCAGTAGCGAAGCGTGGATTGACTCTGACATCATCCGAGTCTGCATGGCTGCAAAAATCATCATTTAAAAAATCCGATCACACATTACCAGCATTTCCCAGTGGGATGTATGATATAGTATTTCCACAACAGGCTGAACACAGGTTGACATCTTTAACCCCGTCGAACTAAAATTCTGAATGTCATTGCAACTTCCTGAATACAAACAGTTTAAAAGCTATAAAAGAAAGAAATAGTTAACAATGATGAATCAAGTGCTGGGTATGTGATACGCACCCTACTAAACTTTTCCGGGGCGGCACGGTGGTGCAGTGAGACCTGGGTCTGAGTCTCCATCGTGGTTCCACGTGTGTGGAGTTTGCATGTTCTCCCCGTGTCGTCGTGGGGCTTCCTCTGGGTACTCCAGTTTCCCCCCACAGTCCAAAAACATGTTGAAGTGAATTGTGGTTATCAAATTGCCCATAGGTGTGTGTGTGTGTGTGTGTGTGTGTGTGTGTGTGTGTGTGTGTGCGTGCGCCCTGTGATGGGTTGGCGCCCCACCTCGTGCCCATAGGCTGAATAGGACAAGCAGCTTCAGAAAATAAGTGGGCATAACCTTTCTTTGCTTTTAATTCTCGTTGGTTGATTTTCTCTCAGATCTTTTTGTGTCCATTGCTGCTTAAGACAAATGGATCCCGCACCGAGAGTCCAATCTGCTCATTCGTACCCGATGTAAAATGAAGCTTAAAATATTTTCACAATTTAGCAAGTGTAATTAATATTTTCCTCACCCACCCGCAACCCATCCATTATTATTATTAAGGATATAACTGTGATCCGTGCATCGTATTCAGGCAAGGAAGCTCAGGAGACAACTATGCAAGAAATAAAAGATTCATTTGGGGAATGAGATAAAAGCACAAGCGGGAGTGGCAGGTGCAGATCTTTCGGGACAGACGGGATGGTTATGAGGCTCCTTCAGGGCAGTTGTCCACCAGGTTGTTTGTTCTTGGGCCAAAGAAAGCACCCACAACTTGCTTACCCCTTCCTGCACTGGGGAAAACCCTGGTTAGTGACCACCTGGCTAATATTCCTCACAGGTGGTTTCTGAGCCAACCGTCGGGAAGCTGTTGTCCACCTGCATGGCGCTCGTCATACCCTGCTTGTGCATGATGGTTTCGTGGGGAGTCTTCAGGTCACCGCTTGCATACCAGTTATCTTCCCCACTAGACCAACTTTTCCCAATCCAGTCCTCAGGGTCCTGCAGACAGTCCATGTTTTCGCTAGGGAGCTGGGAGGGAGCAAAAACACGGACTGTCTGTGGGTCCCTGAGCAGCGGGTTGGGAAACACTGCACTAGAGTCTCGGGAAGCCTATGCACCTGTGCTGAAATGGTCAATCCTCTATCCATGATGTGTGCTGCAAACACACGTACACGTTTGAGCTAGAATGTGTAAAGAATTACTGCTGTGAACATCACGTTCCAAAAGTTCCCGAAGCATACAGAGGTGCGTTTTTCCTGGTTCAGGGTGAGGACAGCAGTGGGAGGACAGCAGCTCTGGTGACTTTATTCATAGTCCAGCCAGCCACTCCATTTTTTGGGGTTATGCTTCTCCAAGGCCAGACAAAGCCAGGGGGTAAAACCAGATCTCAGCGGGTCACGGGATAAAAGAAAAAAAGATAAAGCCTCCATGGTCCAATGAAAGAATGACTTGCCCTTAAACTGACTGAAGTGACAGTAAAGGTGAGGAAAAGTTTTGTTTGAAAGACTGAATACTGTCAGCTGGTAGCATATTAATGGCTTACATGTTCCCTGTATTTATGTATCATGTTCCTGTTTATTGTCATAGTTACAGAAGAAACGCAGATGGACCTGGAACATGGTTCCATATCCCCAGGCATCATAATTAACACGGAATGAACATGTATCATGTGTTTGCTCAGTGACAACAGCAAGGGAGACACAACCGTCAACATCGGCGTTACGTAACGGCGTCATATGCGTACCCCGCCCCAGTCAGAGCAGACCTGTCACACAGCAACACTGCCCTGCTTAATTCCAGAGCGACCACAGACCAGAGGGAGCTCCATCCATATGATCAGACTAGTTATGCTCCTATACCTCCAAACCAGACTATACACATGCGGTTTTTTTTGCATAATTTGTCTATGTTTATGTGAAGTGGTGTGCATGAAATCAAATACTTACTAAAACCTGTACATGTGTCTTTAGAATACTAATAGAAAACAATTTTTTGAAAAGCATACCTTCTTTGGAAATAGGGTATTAATATGACATGTACTCCATGTTTTACACCGAGTCACTTCGCGCTAAATCATTTTGAGAAGGAGTCGGAGTGGGACTCTGCGACTGGACCTTCCTGGGCAGATGACGGCTTTCTCCAGTTCGGACTGGTGTCCTCTGACTGTGAGACCTTGAGGTGTGAGTCCGTGGGAACATAATAATGAGACTCACCTCTGATACAATTCGGGAAGGGAACAGCAGCAACGGGAAGCTAAGAGGCGATGCAGAATCGCCATTGTTTTCTAATACAATGTCATTTTCCTTCCTGCTGGAATGGTATTGAAACAAGAGAACCAACAAACCAAGTCATGGTCCGGGGATGGGAAGGAGGCGGGACCAGTATAAGAGATGGGGAAGGGGGGGGGGGAGAAGGAGGATGTGAGGAGGGTAGGCGGACTGTAGCAGCAATGCCTTGCATTTCTTACAATGCTGCCGCTGAAGTTGTTCCTCTTCCTCTGAAGAACATCTCTTCTCACAAAATCTGACCAACGACCCCTTCTGGTCACCTGGACCTGTTAGAGAAGCTTGATCCTCATCTCTGAGATTGAGAGACTCCCACCCATCCGGTCCGGCAGAAGGAGCAGAGACAACCCTATACGGAACCTCAGCAACCAGCAGGTAAATCAGCCACCTTCATCCGTTCCTAGAAGGACACGCTGCTGTCCACCTACCAGGTCTGGGAGACCTCAGAAGGCCTTTACTGGAGGATTTAGGTGTTTGAGAGCCTGAGTCTCTTAGACTAATTTTATAAAATACTGGCAGTGTGAGGCAGGAGAACTCAAACCACACAGAACAAATGGAACTTTGGGTGTCCTGACCCTCAAATGAAAAGGAGCGCTGATTGTCGAGTGTATCAGTGTGTTAGCATGTTAGAGGGTGTGTCAGGTTGGATTAGCTGCGTGTCGCTGCTCATTCATTGTCACAGAGATATGTTTGAGAACACTGTCCTGTAACCTTCTACAGAGCTGAGCTCTTTGTTCTAACGCTGCTTCTGTCAAACCACGTAGGTGTCAAAAGCACTTGGCTTTGACTCGGGAGACAAACCAGATTGTCTGAGAGGTGGCAGAACTGAGTTTATCTTTGTGTACCCAGAAGGAGCTGCCAACTTTAAGCATACCAAAAGGTGGAAGAAATTCAGATCAATTCCATGAATAACAAATGCGTATGTTTGCAGTATAAAAAGCAAGAAGAGACTAACAGATTTGCCCACTGATGTATGTGTCATTGCCAATCGATTTTGAAAGGAGTGGTGTAAAGGGACTATTTTGTTTTCATTCAGTTTGTGAATCACCCAATTACCTGGACAGGCAGGGAGGAAGCTGCAAATGTATTTAGGTTGAAGCGAAGTGTAGGAAGACTGGTGTTTTCCGTCAATTCCTGAATCAAAAGATTTCATTAGTAATGAGTTTCTTGACCCAAACTAACGAGCTCTCTGACTAACTCACTATGAAACTAACAACCTCCCAGATTAACACACTGCAGAACTATAAGAAGCTCTCTGATTAACACTACAAAACTAACAGGCTACGTCACTAAGTGACTCCCAAACTAACAAGCTCTCTAGCTAACAGATTCCCCAACAAACAAGCTCTCTGGCTAACAGACTCCTAAGCTAAAAAGCCCTCTGGTTAACAGATTCCCCAACAAACAAGCCCTCTGGCTAACAGATTCCCCAACAAACAAGCCCTCTGGCTAACAGATTCCCCAACAAACAAGCCCTCTGGCTAACAGATTCCCCAACAAACAAGTCCTCTGGCTAACAGATTCCCAACAAACAAGCTCTCCGGCTAACAGACTCCTAAGTTAACAAGCTCTCTGGCTAGCAGATTCCCAAAACCTTGCTCCCCAGTCATCTTCCGATGACACTGCCCTCTATCCATGTTTTATTTAGTCTGATTTTGCTCAGCCACACAGGAAAACACCTTTTCAAGACAACATAAGATGTAATGGTTTTACTGTGTATAAATGATGACAATTCAACATTCTATTATTTGGTTTTCTTTATCTGAACTTACATTGTGGTCAGTATAAAGTAGTAGATCAGGTCAGTAGATCAGGAAAGCGTAGTATAGAGTAGGAAATACAGTGGCATAGAGTAGTAAAATTTTGCCGTATAAGGCGACGAACAATGTAAAATCTTGAGTAATATGTCTGAGAAATCACATACCACATAGGTTGGAGAAACATGACCCTACAGTGCAGCTGTGACCTCTGACTGTTCTGTGGAAGAGTCACCCATGACCTTGGTCCAAGGAGAGAAAGGCTGTGTATTTGATACCCCCCCCCCCGTTCCCCGCTACACAGTCCCAGCACAGCGCAGTCACACACCCCAGTTCCCATGACAGCTCAAGGCACGTCTGCTTTACTGCAGCACTGCACACCCCAGCGTACAGCCAGGATGCGGTGTTAATGCAATTCCACTTCAAACACGCTGCCTGGCAGGCTGTCCCGGGGCAGCGTTTGGAACGAGTCAGGCGCCTTTATAAATATTTGCGACAGGGATGGATAGCGTAAGCACGAGCTCATCGTGCCGGGCACAGCCTGTTATGGTGAAGCCGGGACGGCGTCCCGTAGCACGTGGGATTCTTTCGCGGAATGGCCACCAAGCTAGGCGACGTGTGAGCAGAGCATGCTGGGTTCTCATAGGACGTGCCTTTAGGTTGGAGAGACACCTGATGAACAGCGTTCAACACATGGTCCTATAGCCTATAGGTGCATGAAGAGTTTGTCTCTGTGTCGATTGGAAATAATCTAACAGATAATCCTCTGTTGGTGACTGAGTATACCGCAGTTCGAGCAATAGATATAAAAGTAAATAAACCTCAAATACAGTAGTTAGATGTGCTGTACTGTCACCGTAAACTTAAATCTTTCAGATGCTGGTCATGTCCTGTGTCCTCATTGCTGTAAGTGAGCAGTGTAAGAGTCCAGACCACTGCAAGATGGCTCCAAACTCACACTTCCAAAGATCTTTCAGCCTCCGGTAGCAGATCAGCTTCTTAAGTCATTTGAATCTAAGATAAACACCAAAGTTGGACTCAGACCCACATCCACCACCTCCTCTACTGGCCCAAAGGTGCTGACCCACCGTCATGGCTCCCTGTACTGGACAGTTTGTCCTCAGTGTGTTTCTAACCTGCTGCATTGTTCCCTGTCCTTCACATTCCCACAGCAAACATCAGAAGGCATGTGGGGCGGGGGGGCGGTCTCGCCCACTTCCTAGGGGAACCCGGGTTCCAGCTCCCTGTCAGGTGGGTTGAGTTGCTCCTTACAGATACAGAACACAAAGCAGTACTGACCCCTCCTGCCTCCACCTCCGGCAGTGGCTGTCTAATGACGGAGATTTCCTTTGAAGTGTTTTGTCACCAGGAAATCATTCTGGTTGAGATTGCTTCCTTGAGAAAAGCAGCTATAGTCTTACAAGCATTAAAACAGATGGACTCATTGCTTTGGTTTGATTCCCCTCCTGGTGCAGTTTCAGATCCCAATTCCCAGAACTACCAATGAGTAACAATAAAGACAGCAAAGTATATCAAACAAAACCCAGTTGAGTAACAAAACCCGGAACTGGTGACTTCACACAATGCTTACATATAACGAAAAATCTTTACAAAATCAAACTCCCCTTTTTCTCCAGACTTATAAGTCTGAACGTAAGCACAACGCCTAGCTTAGCTACTCCACATGTGCTTTTTAGGAGGAACAATTAATCTGATCGGATTCATGTTTCCAGGTGGCACAGTGGTTAGCACTGTTGCGTCATACTTCTGCGACCAGGGTTTTAGTCTCCAACCCTGGCCCTGTATGTGTGGAGTTTGCATGTTCTCCCCATGTCGTTGTGGGTTCCCTTCCATTGGGTTGTCCAGTCTCCCTCCACAGTCCAAAAATATGGTGAGGTGAATCTGAGTTACCAAAATGTCCAAAGGTGTGAATGGTGTGTGAGTGCCTTGTGGTGGCTTAATGACCCATCCTGGGTTATTCCCTGCTTTGTGCCCATAGCGTTTAGAGCAGTATTTCTCAAACCAGCCCTTGGGCACACCCACCCCCCCCAGCTCCCAGGGAACTGACCTGGGGGTTCCCGAGGACTGGTTTGACAAACACTGGTTTAGAGGTGCTAATAAGTATGTACAGTACTATATAATTAAACGACGTCTGAATCACAGAAACCAGGATTGGGAACATTAGGTTTGTCACTGGTCAGCAGAGGCTTCATTGTCATCCACTTCCGCTTCTATCTGTGACGTTCACAGATTCACACAGTCCCGTCACGTATTTACTTTGGACTTCTTTCAGACGACGTCCCCCTTTCTCAGAGCACGGCATGTCATGGGAAAACAGTCCCCTCCACTGTTTCCACTGGCATCAGAAGCTATTTATACCCTGAACCCAGGGCCTCGGTTGTCCACAATCCATCGGTTAATAAAACTGGTGTCACACGACCGCCATGTGCCTTAAGCTCCGGAGTTTCCCGATAACTAGCGCCACAGTTCTCACAGATCCCACAAAAGTGATAAGTCTGTGGGCTGACTTACATCGGAGTGGAGCCTGAAACTGTTCCCTTTTGACAAGCCGCAGGTCCACCCTCATCTGCGAGGATGTGATGCAAAATGGTCGGTCCCGGGTCAGAGTACTGAGGAGCAATTCTGTCCTACACCCCCACTGACTGCCAAACCCCATTTCCTCCCCCAGGCTTTATCCAAGGAAGGTGCGAGGCGTAATGGGGGACTGGAGTCTTTTGGGGAACTTCCTTGAAGAAGTGCAGGAACACTCAACCTCCGTGGGCAAGGTCTGGCTCACCATCCTCTTCATCTTCCGCATCCTGGTGCTGGGCACGGCGGCTGAGTCCTCCTGGGGCGACGAGCAGTCCGACTTCACGTGTGACACCAAGCAGCCGGGCTGCACCAACGTGTGCTACGACGCCGCCTTCCCCATAGCCCACATCCGCTACTGGGTGCTACAGATCGTGTTCGTCTCCACGCCCTCGCTCATCTACATGGGACACGCCATGCACGTGGTGCGCGCCGAGGAGAAGCGGCGGCAGCGGGAGGAAGACCACGGCGGAGCCGAGAAGGAGTACCTGGAGCAGAAGGAGGCCGAGAAAACCAAGGGCAGAATCCGCCTAAGGGGGGCGCTGTTGCACACGTACGTGCTCAGCATCCTGATTCGCACCGTCATGGAGGTGGCCTTCATCGTTGGCCAGTACATGATCTATGGCGTCTTCCTCAAAGCCTTGTACACGTGCAAGACACAGCCGTGCCCCAACACGGTCAACTGCTACGTGTCACGGCCCACAGAGAAGAACATCTTCATCGTGTTCATGCTATCGGTGGCCGCGGTCTCCCTGCTTCTCAGTGTGGTCGAGCTCTACCACCTGGGCTGGAAGGCTTTCAAGCGGTGTGTGAAGGCCTACGCTGCCGCCCACGCCCTGGAGGTCCAGCCGGCTGCCATGACGTTAGCCAGCCACGAGCCCGGCACGCCAAGGACCACCGACTCGTGCACCCCACCCCCCGACTTCAACCAATGCCTGTCGACAGCACCCCCCCACCCGCACACCAGCTGCCAGCCCTTCAGCAACAGGATGGCTCACCAGCAGAACTCGGCCAACTTGGCCACCGAGCGTGATCGCACCCATGACCCCCCGTGGGAGGAGGACTTCCTGCAGTTGAGCTATGACCCAGACAGCGAGGCTCCATGCGGCCTCCTCAAGGGGAAAGGCTGCCCAAGCAAGGCCAGTGACTCCAGTGGGCGGGCACGACCAAGTGACCTGGCAGTATAGACCCCAATGGGTGGGACTAACAGGCCTACAAAGATGAAGGACCTGACAACTGGATAGGGAATTCTGGGACACCAACAGGCATTTTTCTTTACTTCCCTTGTATCTGATTACATCAGTAGTTTTGACCATTTGGACATGTTTACATTTATTAAGGCCCTGGACTAAATGCTACTGACTGCATTTCCAGGGGGCCATTCTGTTGTATCCTTGAGTGAGGTACTGAACTTGAACCACTCCAATAAGACCCAGCTATTCAAGTGGGTAAAAAAGTTTTTCTGGATGCAAGTGCCGTCTTGGAAGAAAAATATCAAGTTAGGACTATATAAGGCAGTGCAGAAACAATATTTTGATACAGGGGAAATAGGTTTGTTTTGATACTGTGTGACACCTTGAAAACTTGAACGATATTTATGATGTACAATAAGCAATCTCAATATTTATAATATGAAGATTAAACTTTGATCATGAAAGTTCAGTTTTGCTTGGCAGAACTCATTTCAAGTAAAAAATGAAACCATATCTCAAAATGAAGTTGTAGAACTGGATTTTATTTGATGTCATTAGCTAAAACTATCCCTCTCACATGAGGACAGAGATCAGCCGCCCAGGAGAAGCAGAACCCTCATGTTGGCTGCAGGGGTGCGTATAGGGGGGGGACACAGGGGCACTGGCCCTAACTGAAAGCTGATTGGCCCCAGAATGCCCCCTTCCCTGTCACTGGCCCCTCTCAGGTCCTCACCTTATAAAATCCTAGAATTACCCCTGTGTGAATTGCGACTCCATGGACAGGCCAGGTCCCATGAGACATGTAAACTATCGCCATATCCCATCCGCTACACGAACATTAAAGGGCCACATGTTGAGACAGGCCTGCTGCATGTTTGCAGAGGTGCCATATGACTGTCAGAATTCAACGGCCGATATTTATTAACACGATTCTCAGTGGACAACTTCCCGTCAAACCCTGGGAAATACACACCACTAATCATGATGTAACATTAGTCAGACTTTCAATGTGCCAGAGGCACTGAAAATGTCATTAAACCGGACAGGTAAAGAAACAAAAGTCAACTGACACAAACCTTCACCCGGCTAAACCGCTGTTAAAATGCTTCCATTGTTTTGCTTTAAGTTCACTTAGACATTTACAAGCTAAACTGTGACTTTTGGTTAAACTGTGCAGGAAGTCTTAAGATGAGCCTCAACTCATCTTGTAAAGTCAGTCTTTTAACATTATTTTCCAAATTCTTGTAAATGTGCTCTGTTTTTTACAAGTATTTAAGAGGATGGTGTGATTTCGTCCTTTCTGTGTGCAGGGTTTTTGGGGAATCAGATAGTTATTTATGTAGTTAAGGATATGGAGGAAGCAACGCAAAACCGGGTTTTTTATATTAAAATGGATGAAGATTCCATTAAGTTTTGCCCGTCATACATGTATTACTTGGATATCTGGAACACTAAAATCTGTCACTTTAGATCATCACCCTGTTTCCAGAAAACTTTAGTTGGACTATGCTACAATGTCACTATCACATTGTAGGAATTACTACATACTGTCCTAACCTGATGAATTACCATGTTTACCGCGTAAACAGTGTTTAATTTCATGTTTACGCCCGTACCGCCTGTGGCCGCTAGATGGAGGCCTATCGCTATAATACAACTTGGATTAACCGGTATAATTAATATTTTATCTATTTTTATATTGTAGTTTTTGATTGGTTGGCCCGCTATTCTGGGTTATTCCCTGCCTTATGCCTGTTGCTTCTGGAATAGGCTCCGCAGACGCCCACGACCCTGCATAGGACAAGCGAGTATGAAAAATGGGTGGATGGATGGACGACTGGATGATTTTACTTTTATGCAATTTGTACTTGCTCAGATGTACCCATTTCCATCAGAAAATCCATATCTTCAACATGGATGACAGACCCTTAACCATGTAACTGGCCCTGAACTATGGGGTCTGCTACGACATATTTTGCCAACTTGTAGGATTCCCCACGATAAATTTTGCCAGCCTGCATATCTACAGGCCTGCCGGGAAAATTTCGGGTATGCTATATAGCCAGTCCAGCCCTGGATACAGTCATATGCATGCTATTAAAAAGTTAAAATCTGCACCATTCGTTAGGAATGAGTTGTGTGCAGTACATAAGGTTTAGGGATTTAGCGCAACTAAGCAGTTATTTTTAAAATTGCATTACTAAAGGGTAGGGAGCATGTGTAAATAACCATAACAAAAACAACTGTAAAATTGTAACTAAATTATATGAACTTGGAGTAGCTGAGTGTTCTCGCAGCAGCACTCTAGCAAGACGACGGCACTGAACACACACAGAACCATGCAACATGTCCGATTAATAAGCCCAACTCAAAAAAAGAACTGATCCAGTAATCTAATAGGAGACAAAACCAGTAAAGCAAAAGACTCTCGTTATTTCACCTGATATCCTTTTATTTATATAAATTTGCTTGAATGCAAAAATATGCAGTAACACTTTCGAGACCTATTGGCCATTTTTTATACTTTTTAAGCCTATTCTAAGATCGTGGATTTTCGACCTTCTAGTATAAACGGTTCATCGTATTTCTGCTACAACTAATAACAGTACTTCACTGTAGTATATACGATGAAATACGGTTAGTCATTTTACAAGTAAATATTGTAATAAAATGTATTTCGAATTTAACGCGCGAATTATCCACTTTGTGGGAAATGTAGTTTCACTTGTTCGTACTACACCATTAAAGCCCACGACAACGTTCAGAGGACTACAAACACCAGAAAACACTGCTTTTCTGGTGTTTGTAGTTGGAGTTTTCTAAGTTGTTAGAAGTTTACCAAAAGGTGTTGTTTTCGCGCGTTTACTTTCATTTTTATGTTAAAAATACGAAAAAGATCTTCCACCACCACTTTGCTTGCTGAAACGAGCTAGTGTGACATTTACGCGTTTCTTTCTAGCGCGGTATTTGCCCGTTCCCCCGGTACTAACACAGCCTAAATGCCATGCGGGTGCTTTAATTTTGGTATCAGACTTAGTGTTTGATGATTTGGGCGGCGGGAGCGTAGGCTTCGCGGGATGGATAACTTCCGGAAGGTATGCGGCGTGCATACATGCGCATATTCACGCTCCGGACCGGGCACTGCGCCGAAGCTCCGGGCCATGTGAGACATCTGCGACTTGCCATGCTGATTTGCACAATCCGGGTTTGACGTTTAGTCGCAGAAGTTATTGGAGCTCGTCCGGCTGGAGTCCAGGTGTCACCTCCGAGATGAACGGCGATCCCTCTCAGCTTGAGCTCAAACTCGTACAAGTTGTGTTCCGACACGGCGCCCGGACTCCTCTTAAGTCCATACCTGATGTGCTGGAGGTAAGAACTCGGTCCCCCATGAGAGCGCCGTAGTGCCAGACGCAATCAGCTTCAAAGCGCATATCTGCTTCCGTATTGATGCGTGCCGAAAATCACCGTGCATTTTTCTCTGCGTACATTGTAAAGTTTTCTCCCATGTCTGCTAGGTTAATGATTTTTAAACCGTCTGCGGACTTTAAACAAGTTGGCAGCCTCTCTATCCTGGATCTGCATGTTTTGATGATGATAACATCTTCATGATTAAACCTGATATGCGTCTCTAACTGGCACTTTCTGCTCCCTCCCTGTGGATTCACCCTTAGGCTGATTGGGTCCCAGATCTCCTGAAGGTACCAGCCCACACCCAAATCGATTATGTAGTCACAGACCTGGAGGGTGGTCCCAGGCCTTCTGCACCAGTGGAGGACGGCTACAGGGTTACAAAACTCCATGTGAGTCGCAATAGGCTAAAGTGAAGCCCTTTGTGTGATCAACTGACTGACCATTTAACTCTTTGTAGGGTGGCACATATCCTGGCCAGCTGACCACTTTGGGCATGCAGCAGCTATACGATCTTGGCATGAGGTTAAGGAGAAGCTATATCACAGACCTGCCTTTTCTCACAGCCAGCTTCAGCGCTGCTGAGGTCTAGTGAGTGGAATTCATACACTTGTACCCAAAGCACCATGGGTTGCACAGTCTATATGTCCCTATGCAGGGGTCCACCTCTAAGTCTGTATATGTCATTTTGAAGAATTAGAGGCTTCTTCTACCTTACAGTATAATGAAAATACACGTATCTGTCTGGAATCATGTGACTTTATTTACACCCATTCAGTGTTCGTTCCACCAACATCATGAGGACAATTGAATCAGCCAAGTGCCTGGTGGCTGGCCTTTATCAGCAAAAGCAGGATGGTGAGTTGTGTCTCCTGTTCCCCTCAGACATTGTGCCTGTCCTCGAGTCTGTCTTCTGTTCCTTTCAGACACTGTGCCCGTCCTCGAGTCTCCTGTTCCCCTCACACTGTGCCCATCCTTGGGTCTCCTGTTCCCCTCAGACACTGTGCCCGTCCTCATGTCTCCTGTTCCCCTCAGACACTGTGCCCGTCCTCATGTCTCCTGTTCCCCTCAGACACTGTGCCCGTCCTCGAGTCTCCTGTTCCCCTCACACTGTGCCCATCCTTGGGTCTCCTGTTCTCCTCAGACACTGTGCCCGTCCTCGTGTCTCCTGTTCCCCTCAGACACTGTGCCCGTCCTCGTGTCTCCTGTTCCCCTCAGACACTGTGCCCGTCCTCGTGTCTCCTGTTCCCCTC